CTTCCTGTGCTGGGCAGAGGCAGCCTCGGAGCTGACCAGCTGAGCAGAAAGGAAGCTCTGAAAAGTCAGAATGAGACGGTCAGAAGTCAAGCTTCCTGTGGACTTGGCCACTCCCGGGTTTACACTCTGTCTCTTCCACCTCAGCGGACGGCCCCCAGGGGGACTGGCCCTGCCTCGGTCACTTCCCTGGGCCTCATCCCTTAGTGGGCACTGAGCGTCCTGCCGGGTGCACTCAGGAGGTGCCCTGCTGAGTTGGCCTTCATGGGCATGCCAGCCCTTCTGGCAAAGCCATCACATCTGAGTTGCGTGGAGCAGGGCCCACGGGCGTGGGGACGAGTGGGGAAAAGCTTTGAAACGTGTAGGCCTCACGCTCTTGCTGGGCCCCTCCTGAGCCCCTTCCATGCTCACTGCTCAACAGCAGCTCAACCCTGACCTGGAGGAGCCAAACTGGGTACCCCTCGTGGTGCAACAACGCACCTTCCCTGAGAGCACCAACACCAAGGATAAGCAAGAACAGGAAGGGATCGGAGTTCCTGGGCTGGCCTGTCTGCCGGTCACCCTATACTTGCCCGCGGGCCTTCTGTAGGACAGAGGGAAGCTCCTCACTGCTTTGAATGAGTTTCCAAGAGGTGCCTGGTAATAGTCAGCAAAGCACGGGGGCGGGGCTGGCAGAGAAGATGATACTTTCCCCTGTGCTGCAAAGGCGTCTTAAAACCAAGCTGGCATCCCCCATACAGCCCAGGGGTTTAGGCCACAGCCAAGCCCTTGCCCACCCACTCAGGGCAGAACTAGTTGATGTCACACTACAAAAGCACTTGACCTCAGGCATCCCCGCGGAGGCCTGGGGAAGCCTCTATATCCAGAGCTTCAAAAAGGTGCACCTGGCGGATTTGATGAGAAGCTTCTTGCTGGGTTTGGCTCCTGGTGACATTTAGAAAGGCTGGTGCTCCACTCATCTAGTCTCATGGAGGCTGCCACTCAGCTGGGGAAGGGGTATGGACTCCAGGGAAGGAAGTGTTTGATGAACTGAGCCAGGGGGAGTTAGGCAAAACTACAGAGGAGGGAAACCCCTAATCCACAGTGCAGCTGTTTTGCCTTTAAGTTGGGGTCTCCCTGCTGCTGAGAGAAAGGCTCTGCAGTGAGCTGACTGGCCACTCAGTGACGGACAAAGGCCACTCACTGCATTTGGTGTGACTCTCATTCCACGGAGTGCAGGGTGGGGAGGGAAGGTGAGGTCTTCGGAAGTTTTCCTAAGCTAGAAGACCAAACCTCTGAAGACACACACCACCTACAGGAAGCCTCCTCTGATTGCCTCACCCGGATAGGGGCGATCCCTGTTTGGGACTCCTACTGACACAGACGGCTCTGTCCTGGAGTTCCATGGGTAGCCTGCTGCTCTTGAGCTGGGTCTGTGGCTGCCACGTGACTGGCTGATGAGAAGATGGCATGTGGCTGACAACCACCCACGTTGGCCGCTGTCAGGAAGATGCCGGCATCTCTTGCGAGCTGTGAGGCCCAGCCATGCCCTTTACAGAATCCTTTCCTTTCCTCTTTCAGATGCTCAGAGAACCTCGCCTTCTCTTCTCTGGGGCAACTTCCACCAGATTTATTTTCTCTTTCCTTAGGACCCTCCAGTCACATCAGAGCTTGAGGGAAGGGTAGATTGTTGATTTAAGGTGATGGTTTTCAGGTCCTCGTGTATCCAGGGAGATGGGAAGACCAGGGGACTGCACCTGGCCCTGCAGCACCATTTCTGCAAGCACTGTCACCCACTGAGGACATGGGTCAGAGTGAGTGCCTTCACCTTGCCCAGAGCCCCCTCTGCTCATGGTTTACGGTTGCCATGGTGACACCCAAGGATACTTCCCTGGATGGCTCCCAGAAGCAACAGCCTCTCTACCGCAGTCACACCCATGGCCTTGGCTGTCTTTCTGTCATTGTTAATTGAAATACTGAGAGCCAGCTCTCTGTGTGGGCACCAGGCAGCTGTGTGCCACATCCAAGCACCTCTCCTTGCAACCAGAGCCCCAAAGCTAATTAGAGGGTCACACTCCACAGATCTGGTCCCCAGGTTCCTTGCAGAGGGGAACCTCTTGCCAACATACAAGCCATTCGGTTGCAAATGGTATTCTTCTGAGGCTGAGCTTAGCTCCACCTAGGTGCCTTTCCGGGTTTAAAGGGCTTGTCTGGAAGGCACTCTGTTTTATTTTCTTTTTTCCTAGAAACAGCAACTAGCAACAAAGTGCTCACACAAAAAAATGGGTCGGCATTCAGGTTAATTAGGAGTCAGATTTAAGAACACAGCTAAGGAGGGACCCCATCTCCTGAGCTGATGCTGCTGTGCGAATCCAGCTCATGTTATTTTTAAGCACAAATATCAAACTGTTTCTTGACAAATGAGATGTGAAATGAATGAGTTTTTGCACATAAATATTTAGTGCAAAATATGCCTTTGGATGCTTTGGGCACACAGGGGGTGCAAGAAGGGTTTTCTGGCCGGCTGTGCAGTAGCCAGAGGGTGGGGATTCATGCAAGCGAACCCCATCCCCAGACCCCACACTGACAAAGCAGCTCACTTAAAGACACACCAACACAACCATGTCCGGGACTTCTGACTTCCCTTTAGGAGCAATTGCTTAATGGAGGACTGTCTGGGGAGGTGGCCTGGGACCATCCCTGAAGTTGCCAATCTGAAAAAGCCCGTGTGTCCACCCTGCCCAGGCCTGGACCACCTTGTTAATTGGAAACTCAGCTCTGGGCTTGTCCTGAAGCCTAGGGGGTGGGGCTGGAATCCCTCCCCCTCCCTCTGAGAGCTGGGGTATTCTCTTTCTGCCCCCAGATCTACCATCTCCTTTCCTCCACTCTGTCCTGAGCCCTGAAGGCTGCCCCCACAGGCTGTCCCCCCAGGGCACCCTTGCCCCCAGCTCCCAGTGGGAGGCCCTGACAGGAGACTGGCGGGCAGGAGGACAGTGAGCCCCTTGCTGGGCCACCAGGGGTTGGCTGTGTCCCTCTACCAAGGCACAGCTCCTATCAGGCTGGCCTTTCTGGGTTCTGCTAACTGCCTTCTCCCCTTACTCCAGGGACCCCCTGCTACTGGCCCTGGGGACATGCTCTTCCTTCCTTGGCCACCCTACCTTTGTCTACACCTTTAAAAACCCCGTTCATAGCTGTTTCTCTGTGACCCTGTTCGAATGTGTCATCTGCTTTGCCAGCACCCTGACAGAAACACTCTGCAAACACTCTTGCCTGTAAACCAAGTGGCAATAGCCCTTCCTGGTCTCCTCTCCTTTCAGCTGCTCAGAACTGTGAGCTCAGGAGGCCAAGTCAGAGGTCGCTGCCTTGAGCTCCCTCTCTGGCTCATGCTTCTGGTGGCTCTGAGCGATCAGCTGGCCTGCTGCATCCCAGGGACGCTCCGCAGAAAGTTTATCCATGCCTGCCACCCGGATACGGTGTGCAAGCTCCACCCATCTAGAGCCTACACCTCAGTGGCCTTTGGGAGTGGGGGGAACTGGGACACTCAAGATGGCACTGTTCTCTCAGAGGGATCATAGCCATTTTGGTATGTTTGTGGACTAGAAGTCATCTCGCCCACCTCTGCATGCCCAGGGCGGGACACAGGAAGTCACCTAACCTACCTCTGGATGCCCACGGTGGGACACAGAGGAAGTCACCTCACCTACCTCTGCATGCCCAGGGTGGGACACAGAAGAAGTCACCTCACCCATGTCTGCATGCCCAGGGCGGGACACAGAGGTGCCATAGCACAGTGCTCTCTCAAGAGCGTCATCTGGAGAGCAGAAGACACAGGCATTCTACTCTCAGCTGCAGGCCTGCCTTCCTGGCCTCCTGGACAGGAGCTGAGAAAAGCCTGGGCTTCTTTCTGAGATGGGTCTGTGTGGTTCCTCCCCATCCAGCCAGTAGCCTGACCCACATGTAGAGGTCCCCACCAGGGTGTAATGTGAGTACCAACCGAACTGATGTGGAAGACAGACCGGGAGGGTCTCAACTGTTGGAAAGCTGAAGAATCAGCCAGGGAGGTAGACTAGGATGTCTATCACCACAGACCCCGCAGGGGAGCCCAGAGCCCACTTCCTTATCAAGCACTGATGCTGGCTGGCGGCAGGTGCACAGCACCCTTAGAACCAGGAGAGCAGGACAGGGTGCTCCATGTACCGGGAAGGTTCACGTGCTACCCGGAGCAAGGCCAGTGAGATGCTCCCTGCAAACACAACTAGGTACCAAACAAGACTGAGCGGTGGGTTCAGAGAGGGTATGGCTGGCCTGAAATCAGACTTAGGGAGTGAGCACTGGAGCTGGACACAGCTCTGAGACCTGTCTTTGAGGGGTGGGGGAGTGGGGGATGCTTTGGGAGGAGAGTCACACTGGGAAGCCATGTGCCCAACACCATAATCTCCACTGCTGCCAGCAGCCTCTCCTCCCCAGAGCTGCCAGCAACCCCTTCTACCCTGCAGTCAATCCATTTTCCTGACCTGCTCTGACCCCCCTCTCAACTCCCTAGGAGAGCAGTCCTCAAACTCTGGGTGCCCTCCCAACAATGGCAGAGCTCCATCCTTACCGCCCCCCCTGCCCCCCGCCATGAGGACCCAGCGGTACCAGAATGATGATTTATAGCATGGCCTGTGTCTAGGACCACCCTGGACCTCCACAAAGACAGCACAGGCTACCTAGCCAGGCCCATCCATGCTGCTCGGACAGTGTGGTCAATAGAGTCAGGCAGCATCCAGACACACAGCTTGCATCTTAGAGAGGGCCCCCCACACTCCAGTCCCCACACCCACAAATACATGGCATGAACACTTCTAGCAGCCAACAGTAAAGACAGGAAAACAGCGAAGAGAACCCCAGTGAGGCTGCCCGTTACCAACTACCATGAGGATGCATGCGCAAATGACCCCATCGGGGCCATCCTGGGCTCAGCACCAAGCTGGATGTCACCCCACAGCCCTGCCCGTGCGCCCCCTCGGGGTGCACACCCTTACCGGAACCATGCCTCTGGCGCAGAAGGACCACCTGGCCGGGTGGTGAAGCGGATGAAGGAGCAGCTGCAGCAGCGACCGTGGTGGTGGCTGCACCGGCTGTGGAGGAAGCGGCAGCCTCGGGGACTCTGGGACCCAGTGCCGCAGGAGGGCTCCCAAGAGGCAGGCTCTTGTCTCCGCGGCTGGGCTCCGATGTGGGGTGGCCCGGGGTGCCGGTGGCGCCCAAGTGGTTGGCGTTGGAGGTGCTGGCAGGGCCATGGCGACGGGGACCACTGCTCTGAATGTGGGACACGGCCTCGGCAGCCTGCATGTTGGGCGGAGTGAAGCGTGAGAGCACTCGCAGCAGCGCCTGGGCCTTGTGCTCCTGCGTGTCGTCGTCGCCATAGTCGGACACCCGGCACTCGTACACACCCTGGTCCTGCCGCCGCACAGCCGACAGCCGCAGGCGGTGCGAGATATCATTGCCCTGGACGCGCACGGTCTGCAAGAGAGAGGGGCTGGGGCCAGAGGCCAGGGTGGGCAGGCAGCCCCACAACCCCAATGCGTGACCATGCCACAGCACCCCAACATTTCCCCATGGGGTGTGTCCACCACCAAGAGCCAGGTTTCCTTCTGCCCTTGTCTCCCCAGTGACATGGGCCTCCCAACTCTGATTGGACACAGAATGGCCCTGCCCAGTTCCCACCGCCTTAACCTAACGCTGGAGTTCAACAGACAGCATGGGCTCTGAGGCCTGGCCTTTAGTCCCGACTAACATTTATTCTAGAACCTGGAGGACGTAGAATGCAGGCACACTATCCTGCCCTCAGAGAACATACATATATCTGCTCCCGTCCCTGAGCCCTACATAGCAACCCCTCCACCCTCCCAAGGAGGCAGGAGACACTGAGGCTGCTGCTGGCCCCCCTGGCCCCTGCTTCTTAGGAACCTGCCCTTCTCCAGGTCAGCCTGATGCTCCCAACAACAAAGTGCTCACCCCACCACATGGCCTGGTGGGGACTTGAGGAAGCACCAGATTTGTGGCCCTCATCTTGCACCCAGGGAACCCTCAACTGTGAACCTAGCACAAGAGGAGGCCCTGGCAGTCTTGAGGCCCTGATATTTGCACAGTCCATCTGGGAAAGCTTGGGTGCACCTCCTCCCTGAGTCACAAACCCCTCGAAGCCTGGCAAGACTGTCCCCCCAAAACAACACTTGGCACTGAGACCAGCCAGAGGAGAGGACTGCAGGCGAAGGCGCCAAGTGGGGTCCACTAGCCAGAACAGGGTCTTCTTGGCCAGGGTGAGGTCAAGCCCCCCCAGTTGCTTGGAGAAATGCCAGCAGAGGAGATGCAAGCGACATGCTGGGCCTGAGCGGGGGTGGATGAAGGAGTTTTACAGGTGAGCGCCGAGGGGAGGAAGGAGAGTCAAGCCTGGAACCCTCTATTTATACCAAGGAGAAACTAATCCTGCTACTGGCGACAGATGGCGCCGGGACACAGCAGCCGTCAATGCGAGGCTGAGACTGCGAGAAAGTCCCTACATCGGGCTGAGCCTAACAGGGAGGAAGGGAGCTGCGGGGTGAGAAGCGGCCAGAAGGGGTCTCCCGCAGCCCGCGCTGGGCTCCACACTTACGCTGATTTTAGCTGCATCCTTATTTGTTACCTAAAATGCAAAGAGGGAGAGAGGGAGACATTAGGCTCTCGGCCTTCAGGCTTGGGGAACTCAGATAAGCCTCTGACAAGGGACCTTCCGCAGGTGGGCTGGGACTGGAAACCTCTCGGATGTGGCCGGGACTGAGTGCACAGAGGATGTGGGATTTCTAGGAGTGTTGCTGGAAGGAAGCGGGTCTGCAGATAAGCATGGTGCCTGGCCAAGGAAGGGCTGCCCTAGTACACCTGCCAGCCAAAGACGGGAGGCCAGAATGCCACTGGGTGGGAAGGAAGGCCCGTCTTCACCCCTTGGAGCATCCCTGTCCCTGTTGTGTTTTTCTAAAGCTTGTGAAACTAGACGGAAGGGCCAGTGTATCTGGTTGGGGATCAGTGAACAGTTTCTCCAGGTGGGAAGCTAGACACAGGGGAGGTGTGTGCGAGTGTGTCTGTCAGCGGGCGATGCTGCATGTGCTACTGGGTTCAGAGGCATAGGGGCCCTGGGCACCCTCCCTCTGATCCTGTGGGGATTGGAGGTGACCTGAGGACTTCCCTATACACGGTGCTCTGCTAGCCTCTGAAATCCAGGCCCAGAAGAGCTTAACTCTGTCCCAGTGCACTGGGGAACTGAGTGGCAGAGGGCAAGGAAAGCTGAGTGGACCAAGTGGCCTTTCACCAGCCAGCACCCATCAGACTCTGGGCCTGAAGCCAGCAAGCAAGAGCAGGCAAACTGGATGAGGTGTGGCTTTTTAGGGGCAAGGTGGGGACTTCCCGGAGGTTTCAGGAGAATGAATGGAAGTATGGGATTTTGGGGTAACAACTGCTGTTGAAGATGCCATGGGGATGGAGAGGGTGGGAGATGGGCTGTGCCACAGGGTGTCTCTCTGCTTTCCTGCCTGTGACCCTTGCCACCCAGGCCCTGATGGGGCAGCCGGGTTACCTTGCTCTGGGCGCCGGGCACGCTGAGGGCCAGCTCGTGCAGCAGCTCCCCAGATGGTTCCTTCAGGTACCACCACTGAATCTCCAGGGAATACGAGGTGGCTCCGCTAGCCCGGAATGCACAGGGCATTTCGATGTCGTCGCCCTCCCGTACAGTCACATCTTTGGGGACTTCGGTAAATGTAGCTAGGGGCGGGGAAGAGAGAGGCGTGACCAATTGTGGGGCGGAAGCCTGGGGCCAAACGCTCAGCCCCGGCTCGCTGGCGGGGCGCTTCCCACCCTGCGGCTCCGCGCGGCCCAGATGCCAGCAAAGTTCGCTGGAGCCGGTGCCGGGCCGCCGAGAGGCCGGCCACGCCGCAGGCGGCTTCCCTCCGGTCGGGGCACCGAGAGAGGCTCACGCTTCTCCC